GCATGTAGCACTATGTAGCATATAGGTGTTAAATGAGGTTGGTAAAGGTTTGTGATACTAAAATCGTAGTGCTGAAGTTGCTGCCAGATTACTTCTCGGTCGACGCTGTCGAAGGCCTTTTCAAAGTCGATGAAGTTGAGGGAGAGAGAGAGAGAGAGTTGACTGCCATTCTATGCTCTGTTCTATGATGATGTGTAGCGTTGGGTTGCAATTTGATCGAGACAGCCAGTCTTCTCCGGTCATAATTTTGAACGCAGAGCATATTTTAGTCTCTCCAGGATGATGTGGCTCAATATTTTGTTTGTGGTGGACAGCAGCATGATGCCGCGCCCCGCACTGCACCACTGGTTCATCTTCTGCTTCACCACCACTATCTTCCTCTCCCTGCTCTATCAGCTTCTATGTATCCGTCGAGATCCATCCTTGCTCGTCTTGTTTCTTCCTCTTCCTTCCTAACACGGTTATGCAGGTTTCCTTCCACGTCGCTTTCACAGATTTCCAGTGTTCTTCCACACAGGGATGTTGCTTAATGTCTCCCATTTTGTCCTGATGACTGGGTGACGTGAAGATGTCGCTTGTAGTTACGTGCTTCAGTTCACTTTCTGTTCTGGGTGTTCAAATTGAACTGTGGTCTATCACCAACTTCTTCTTTGAAGGCTTTCAACTTGGTTTCGAAGGTAGGTTGGTTGCATTAGATAGTGAGTGGTGTGAACCTGTATTTGCTCTTCTCCTTCTTCTTCTTTTTCATCTTGTGTCCAGTCCAGTAGGCTGCGTCTCCACTTTCTTCAGATTGAGATGAATTCGATGTGATTTTTAGTGTAGTGTGTCCTGGTGTCTGGTGAAATCAAATCTATGTCACTGCTTTGTGAATATCCTTGTGTTTGTACACGCTGCCTCGCCTGCAATCACCAAGTTGTTGAATGCGCAGAAGTCTGCAAACAGTTCTCCATTGTCATTCTTCATTTCGCTGAGTGCCTCTCAACCCATGATGAGTTCTCTTCCTGTGTTATCCACTCTTAGTTTGGCATTGATGTCACCGATTAGAATTTTGATGTCGCCAACTGGGGTGGGGTATTATCGAATTGTCTGTGGAACTCCTGCTTCTTCTGTTTAACTGCATTATTTGTAGGTGCGTCACGTAGCATTGTATGATTGTGACTTTCCTTCCTTTTGAGTTGAATTTTGGGGTCATGATTCTGATCCTGCAGGAGGAGATTGGTTCCCATTGCATGAGGGAGAGCCTTCGATGCTGTTCGGGGGTGGGGGGGGGAGGAGGGGGAACATCATGATAGCCAGTCGAAAACTCAGTGTGTTCGTGGTTGTCGTGTGGTGACAATATCGGAGTAGCTTATTGACTATCCATTTGACAGTTTGGTGAGCCCACTTGTATTCCATCTGCTCTCGCAGATTCCTATATCGTCTATGCTCTATCTTCTCATTTCTTTCGGAATCTGGGCAGCCTTGCTGGGTTCAAACATTGTGCGTACATTCCATGTCCCCATGCTTACTTTTGTTTTGATCGAGAGAAGTGAAGACACATCGGCGAATTGGCTTCGCGAAGGCTCCCACCGACGTGTGTCATTTCGTCTTCCCGATTCCAGTGAGGGATAAGCTTATTATTATCTTTTTCTATTTTGTTTGTGCTTTGAAGTGTCTTTAGCGATTGGATTGGTTTTCCGGTGAAGGGTTGCTAGTCCTAAGCCCAACGCTTGCTCTTTATCCGGGCTTAGGACTGGCTAGTAAACGTCGCGAGGTTTTTCTGCTATCATGCCCACAAGTTATTGGAGGACTGCCTTCTACTTTGATAGGTCACTCATGCATTCATTTGGCTGCACTTGTTGAGTTGACAGCTCTCTTAAAGCTTTAATTTGATATTTGGTTCACTGAGCTTTTTTTGACTTGTCATTCTGGGTTTCTTGCACAATATTCTGCGGTTTAACATTTATTGCCATTTATTTTCAGTCCTGGGTTTGCCATGGTTATAATATTCTTGGTTTGGTCACTTTCACCGGAAAGTGTTGGATAGGTAATCCGAAGGTTGTATATACAGTCTTTATTTGCAGAAAAATCGAATTCGCCTACTGCATTGGAAGGAAACGATGGTATTGTTGAGTCAAATGCCTATCTTGACCGTCAGGATTATCACCCAAGTGTGACTTCATATCTTGTTGTCTTTCACTTGGCTAGATCTTCAATTACCACCAATCCAACTTCTGTAAGTATAAACACTTCCTGTTATATGCTTTTGTGTAAATATTTTTTGTTCTTTGGATTTACTGCTTCAGTTTGAAAAATGCTTTTGAAGTATTGGTTATTGTTGTACTACTTGCCTGTAGAGCGTATTGGAGAATGCTTGTAAATTTATTGCCCGTTGCCTAATCTTCGCTTATCCATTGTCCCATTCTTGAAGACGCGTAATATCTTTCCCGATTATGTGTTAGCAAAAAAACAAAATTAAATCGTTTCCGCAACCGAAAAACTGTAAATGCCTGTAAATTTCTATTTCTGTTCAAACAACAAGAATATCACCAGCATGCAAACCAACAATTGTTCAGTAGCTAATCGATTAATGACTGTTCCTGTCTACTGTTACAATTCGTGTACAAACGGCATCATAATACAACCTGGCATATGCCACCATGCTCTTATTTTGCAACACCAACCCCGTTTATCCACTTTCTTCATCAGTTATCTCAAGAAGAACTTACCCTCTATGGTGTGTGCAGCCAGAAAATGTCAACCACTCACATCTCTGTCCCTTCCGAAAACCAACTAATCTGCTTCTCTGTTTAATAACTCCCCCTCTAGTCTGATTGCTCCAAGCTTCGTAACACCTAATGACGATTTGCGTTCACATAACAGTATCTCTGGTCTGCTGAAACTGAACTCCAAACTACATATCGGAGCTCTCACTATCTACACTCTTCATAAAATCGACCAAGCTTCGCTACCAATGCACTTGTGTGCGAGGTTCCATGTTGATTTTGTCTGTTTATCGTTAACCTAAACTCCGGCGTCTCCAGCTATGGATGTATGTTGTGTTTGTGAGACGTGGATACCAAAGTCAAGTGTGGTTATTCAGTTCACTTAACCTCTCCTGGTCAGTGTGAGAACTCTGTAATCTTCACCCCTTGAGTTTCTGAAGATTTTTCAAGTAGTTCTTACAGTCTTGCAGGTGTAGGCATAGCACTAAGTTATCGGGTAGATGTAGATAGTGCGCTGCTCAGCCGGATATCAGATGACAGTCGTCCGTGCGCTGTTCGAGTCAGTGGCGCAGTAATGACTAAGAATAGTAGTGAAGTGCACCGTTCCCTCCTCGTTATCTTTCTTTCTGCACGCATCGACCACAGAAAACTGTCTGTCCTCCACCTAGAAGCCAAACAATAAGATGTGGTCGTCATAGGTGGGAAGACTAAGGCAGAAGGGAGTTAGTTGTCACTTCCGGAATCCCGGCTGTCCGAACACACTGTGGCGGTTGTCTGTTACAACAGTGTTCAGACAACTACTTACTACAAATAAACAACCTGACATGAAAGTATACGATACAACAGTGCCTGAGTTTTGGTCTTATATTAAACACATCTAATCCTGTCCAGGACGAGTTTCGAAGATGTAAAGAGATATTGCCTGACGGGGCGACCACTGAGCACAAGTAAACGGTGGACACAGACTGTAGAGCAGTAAACAAACTCTGAAGAGATTCAGTGGTAGGTTCTTATTCCTTTTGGTGCATTCGGTTGACCAGTGTTGGTTAGAACACGCCTATGTCTGTTCTCAAATAAACATCTGAGAAGTACTACCAGAAATCCATCGTTAACTCAGGTCTATCATCAAGATGCTAAGGCTTCTTTCTTTCAAAAAGGGACTAGCTACAGTTATCGAAACGGGTTGACGTCACTCGTCCTGGAGATTCCTGGCGCCACATCCAGTCTGGTCTAGAAGCAACGGTGAAGACTAACTGATCTTCAGAAAAAAAGTTTAAAAAAGATCAATAGATCTCAGCAGTCTTACTGAATGCATGTGAAAGCATTTCTGCAGGCTCGGAGCACAATGAGAAATGAAAGCAACTCGAGTAAAACTGACAAGTAGTCGATGCAATGACCGTGATCAATAGAAGCTCAAGAGAGAGAAGAGGCAGCAACAATAAGTAACAGTAGATAGTTGTTTAAACTTTTCAAGGATGTGTGTGTGGAAATGTCAGCAGTTAGTGGGACGACAGCAGAGACGGATGGGTTGCAATTCACCCATATGAGAGACATCCGTAATGATAGCATGGACATTTTGAGGAACAGTTCAACTAACCTCCATCTACTATTCAGTTGCCAGATATGCAGTCACATTCTGAATGGACCATTGAGACAAGACCAGCAACTCAAGGATAAGCAAGGAAGGTCATGAGGGAGAATAAAGAAGGAGGAATAGCAGACCTTAATTAGCTAGTACTAGTACGAGAGAGGTATCAAAGGAGAGATTATTGGCTAGAGTTATTGGAGTGGTAATTAGCATATGGAAATCAGATATTACCTCTTCCGGATGCTTTCAACTGCTGATTGCTCGAATTTTCAAAAAAAGATTGAGACACATTTTGTAATCAGCAGAAGGGGATCAGTCTGACAAACACTGTGTTCAATAATCTAGGTTCTATAATCGTTAGGTGCCTGATTGAAGCCCGGGTACAGGAAACCCGACAAACACTTTTCAGATTTGGCCACACATGTATCCATCAGATTTCTACACCCTGCAGACCCATTCGTCGACGCCAGAGAGTAGCAGTCAGACCGACAAAATCAACGCAGAACCCTGTACACAAGTTAATCGGTCCAAGTTGGCACACTCCACAGTAGTAAACAAACAACAAGTGGCCAGAAGAGACTGATATCGAAGTAGGTACAAGTGTATGCGAGGAGAGGGAATTCAAAAATCAAGGTTAGTCAAAACATTGAAGTTGTAGAAGACATCAAGGAGTGAATACATCTGCGCCATTGTGACTGATTTTCAGGCGTTTCACCAACAGTCCTCAAACAATGAATCCTATCATCTCCGGGACCACAGACAGATAAGGTAGTCTACACTCTCTACACAACTCAGATCAACAGTCAGGAACTCTATGTACTAGTGCCATGTCTTATTCTGACCACCTTGAACCCTCTTCCAACCGAATCAAACTTCCAGTACTTTTCAACGTCGAGGTAGGCCAAACAGTATCAACACATTTCTCGATTCGATGGCGGCATTTGACTCCACCGATCGGAAGTTTTTGTATTGCCACTAACAGGAGGACTGGTTAATTAGATCACCTTATTGAGGTCTCAATATTCCAACCTCCAGTGGGATGTAGTGAAGTGGGTTGTATACTTCAGGTAGTGTCTGCCAACCATGTCCACTTTCTCGATTTTCATCATGAAGTGACATCAGTTCGAGAACCCTTAGAAACTTGGTAGCAGTGGATAGTTGATTCATTCTAGTATGAGACTGAGCAGTTGGCAACCACGATACTGCCGAGGATCGACCTGCGGATCTTCAGGTTTTGCGCCATGCACGCTCCTAAGAATCCTATTCATACACCTTCGAGGGTATTTGCAAAGTAAGAAATCGCCTCAATCTGTACATGGAGAACACATTATTTATTCATGTAAGGGATCACAGCTGCTTGGTAATAGGATCGAGGTACTCATAGATGACCTGAGTCGTAGGATATTATCGATATCTAACTCACCAAACAACACATGCGTTGCAATACACCATTATTTCATTTGAGGGTACGATGAATTTGCATTCTTTGAACAATAAAATTCGTTTACAACCCCTACCACAATATTATAGTGCCTGCTATCCGGTCATACATCAGTTCACTTCCTTGATTCGTTGAAAGAAAGACATAATGAAGACATCTAGTTTTTTGTGAAATCTGTTCGTACTCATTTCGACTGACATTTTCCTAACAGCACAAGCTATTCATAGGCTTTTGAATCTCTTGTAGCTTCTTCCTTAAAAAGCAGATAGAGATAAAACATGTGAATATATGTTCCGTTTATTTTCAGGACAACCATCTACATCTCGTTCTTCAAACTGATGATCGAATCATTTTGGTGAACAAAGATCAAATGACGACCCAAGTTCACACCGAGAACCTCGTTGTACCGAAGCAATATCTTATTCCAAATTGGCCAGTTCGAGTAATTCCATAGAATACACGTTATCTTGCCTATATATACACTATCTTTGGTCTACCTTACTTGCATTCTATTCTATTAGGATACTAGTACGGATAGCATTAATGCGTCGACCGGAGTAGCGACAAACATCAGATAGGAAAAATAAGTATCAATGGAACCTGTATGGTCTTCAACCCTTTTAAGTCCCTTCGTCCTATATTTTAACTCATTCCAACAGTTTTAAGTGTCATCACACCACATAGAATAGCAAGTCTAAAACCCAGTATATAGCCAGGTGAAGGGATGGTTTGATGACATACTGTTTTGTCGATTGGATCAGTACCTAACACATGCATCACGAATGACTCATCATATATTACAGATGGTGGTAAGTTTTACTGCTATCCATCGAAGAAGTAAATGAAGAAATGTTGAATTATATACGTGAAGTTTCAAAGCCGTATAGTTTACTTTGATATGAATATAAAAAATACATTTTCTGACCATTGTTTTACTGCTGCTAGACCGGTTATCAAGCGACTTAAATTATCATCAAAAAAACACAATGTATGGTGGGGTCTAAGACCAACATTTAAGCCAGACGTTTCATTAAAACTGCTCTTGGTCGATGACATTGGATCCAGAATAACTCCAAGATTAGCTTGGTGGGGATTATTGACAACTGTTGTGTGTGGGTGAACTGATTCCCGTTGTAAGTGAGAGGTGTCTGATAACGTAGTATTGTATACAGCTATTGAGAGTGAACGAAGCAAAGCATTCTTGTCCAGACAAAGCAAACTAATAAGACACATCCATTCATAGCATTTAGCTATTGTTAACTGGTTTAACAAGTACCGCAGCTGGCAAAAAGTTTCATTACGGACAGTCCGTCGCCTTCAAAAAAATATCGGAGAGCAAATTATCGATAATGAATTAAAATACTCGTTTCGTTTACGCAGCAACATTTCGAAGTGCAAGCACACCACCCAAATTATTTATACATTATATTCATGCGTGTACTAGGAAGTAACTCAGTGCTAAGGTCACTAAAAGTTTTTCAAGTGAAATTTATCCTTATTTAGTTACTTTTATCATACAATTGTCGTCAGCAATTCAGTGCTAACCATCAGCTCAAATAACTTTCATTTCATATAAGAAAACTGTATTCGTCGAAGTTTTATCAGTAGTTGATGTATATTATGGAGGATGTGTCAATATAAAAAAGTGTTCTACAAGATCGCCTTAGTTATCTGCGGTGGAAACATATACAACACTTTCATGGTAAGGCTTGCTGTGGTTATATTCATTTGATGATTTCTAAGTGTTATTTTTAGTAACAGGAAAATAATACATTGAATACTGTCTAGAAGATTGTCGCGAGGTATATACACATTTGAAAATGCACAGACTTCGTTATCACTTTGATACTCATATAATTTTCTGCATTCAATGCCAACACCAAATAATTTGTCTGCCTTGAAAATGTTCAAGAAGTGACTTTTACTTTTAACAAAACGATTTATAGCCACTGTTTCCTCGCATTGTTCATTTTAATAATCGAAATGTAAAGGTAAATTGCCACTCTAACTCTAGTGCTTAGGACAACTTTAATTTTACAAAAGTGTGTGGTCGCCTACCTTTTTAGGGGAATAACTGTAAACAAAGGTTTCATTATTTTCATTATCTTCTCCTCCGATTCGATAATCATCCGCAGGTCCGAAGGAAAACTGAGTAGATTCTGCTGTGCTTTTTATTTGAAGGCAAAATTATTTATATGTTCTTTTCTTTCCCAATTTCATCAGTATGTTGCGGTTTCAATGGACGGTAAGAAAATCGCTGTTTCAGGTCGCAATGGCTTCGTTCATTATAACAGTATTTCGCATCGTTGGTATTCCTTCGGCAATGTCAAGCAGGTAGATATTGTTATGAAAACTTGTCTTCATTTATCCTATGACTTGATAAACTCTCATTTGATTGGCATATGATAGGTAAAACCAATTGTTTACTGTTAAACGTGAAAATGATTCATTGACGACTATGTTTTTAACTCTGATTCGCAGACTCTAATATTCTCACTATTGGAAGGACGCTTGATTGATCTGTACTGAAACTAGTTTATTTCTTCACCTATTTTAGGAGAATTCGCTGCATATTGTTGGTGGTATAGCTTGGTGGAAACAATACATTTGTTTGAGTTGTATTTCGGAAGATCATGGCAAAAGTGAGGTGTGTCTTTTTGTATGATTCTCGTTTGTTACAGTGATCCCATGTTGCATTTTTCGCTATAGGGTTATGATTTACAGACCTATTTATACAGTCATTGGTGATGTTTCTATTGTAAATATGTGAAGTCGGCAACCACCAGCTTCTTAATCGGAGTTCTTTGTTGTGATGACCTAATTGCGTAGACTGACCAAAATACTTGTATTGTGTTTCCAGTTTCTTATGTGTTGGGAGTGTCAACACCAACACGCAGTGTTTTACAGAACAGTTATCGGCTGAGTGTGGCAATGAGAACAGAGAAGAGTGCCAAGTTGTTAGAATTTTTGTTTGGTAATTCACTCTAATGGTTAGCACTGTTGGTGATACTGCATTCTCATTACCAGAGGTAGGTGTTTAACGTGCGATCTTGTGTGCTCCCCATTATTTTATCGTTTTCGGTTTCCAGAGACGGAATCCTTTGGAATACAGTTAACATTCATGATTTCCTACCGAAGCGGTTAGAAGTTGAGTAGCTGTAAAAACACAGTTACATGCATCGAGCAATCTTGAGTAGTCACGTGGTTCCCTATTCGCGTTATTTTTTCTATAAACGCATAGATCCCTACTGGATGACGTGGAGTAAATCACGAGTACCAGCATGACTAACGTTTTTATTATTACATTCACCTATTCTCTTAAAGCATTCTGTTAACGACTTAATTATGATATATAGCAGGTGTTCCTAAAAGTTATTTCATACAGATGAATTTAATTGGTAGTCTGACGAGTTGGCGCGACTAACCAGTGCCTTCATGTGGTGAATCTACTCATCCACAGTGTGCTGTAACAGTTCCATACTTTCTTTTGTTAACATATTCAATGTGAAAATTATGGCCCTCAATGGCATGCGACGGTCACATCCACTGTAATACTCTTATTCTCATACAGGTGTTCATTGCATAACATTACATGGACATACCTCGTAGCTGATGACGCCTAATTTTGTTGTGCTTCATTATTTTTCAAATCTTAGGTGCGTGTATATCCATCGGAGCGTAAACTAGATGACCAATTCAGTTCTGTTTGTGAACTTGGATCGCTTGCACAACCTGTAATTGTTGACAACTTCCAAAATTGGTTTCTTGTTCTTACCAACGACGGACACTTACGGAGTTTTGGTTTAGCGGAATGTGTATCTAGTAAGAGTCGATCCGTTAGTTGATTTTTGCTTTCTCAGATTATTTTAGTACTATGAAAGCCAAATAAGTTCATTTTTCTTTTCTATTTTAACTAAGTGAATGCATAAACTGGAAGAAATTTGAGTTGAAACTCAGATAATTGATTGTTAAATATCGGATATTTATCAGGGTTGGTGTGTCTCTAAATATCACTTAAGTGATAAGGTTATATCCAGTGTAGTTTTTTTGATAACATAGAAAAATAATTAGTTACTTCAACGTATATATAAAGCGTGTGGGCAAACTATATTTTGCGCATCTAGTATCAAATCGTTTCACTTCGTGTTTCACGAAGTCATTATTCCTTGCACTGTAGATTTGATAGGTTAACTTCTGTCAGTCATATTCGTCGACATCAATTCCTAGCATGTTAGAGATCGCGCTGAATAATGGGATCAAACGATCAACTGGGCGGAGAGATACAAATTCATCTTAGTCGAGCTTCTTCTTTCCACGATAGGTAAGATAACTTTCGTGCTGAATGAATTAACCTAAATCGATATCACTGTTGCATAGTGTTTACATTTTCTAAGTACAGCGTATCCCTGATAAAAATAAATTCACTTTCAGACCTATTGTAGACATCTGGATTTCCTGGATAATCTCTTATTTTAAAATGAATGCATTGTGTCCACAAAAGTTCAAAGGCGAAAACCAATATCCAGTGCGTATCGAGAAGCTGGTGGATACTGAGGATCCACCTAAGGGAGTTCGAAAACCCTGATTCCAAACCAGTGGTGCTCATGGACTCCAGGTTCCAGACAGAACGAATGGTGCGTGAACCTATTTTGGTCACCGGCGACCATAGAAATACACCTCCTCATGTTACTCCATCGCCTTGTAGATTAGACTTTAAGTCAAACACTCAGAGAGTGAGTGGTACCCTAACACAACCACCTACTTCGGTCTCGGCACCCGGGGACTATCTCAACCCTCACATAAAATATGAAGTCACGATATACGATGAAGATTTTGGAGCCGCTCACCCAACTTTTCGGGAAATATTCAAGCCTTCTACACCACGAACACCTAAACTAGTTGTTTAATTTACTCCTAGTATTTTTCGTTTTCGTTGGTTTTACATATGAATTGTACATTTTTATCCAGTACATGTCTGGACTCTGATCATACTACGGTGTATACTAAGCTCGTCTTGCGTTCTGATGTTCATCAAAATCGTCCTCCTGAACAGGTCGATGCAAGCAAATTGGTTGCACCTAACAACATTGCAGCGAAATACCAATCCCATCTAGAATTGGGGCTGGCTATCTATCCTCCAGAAAGTGTGAACGAGCATTGGCTGCACTTGCAAGACACCATGGAAAATGGTGAGTAAAGCCAATAACATCTTGGAATAACGTCCCGCTAATAAACACTTGGTCTCTGCAAGCTCCCTGCAACTTCTTGACGCCCGTCGGACCATTCCGGTTCTGCTCTACGCCTGTGAAACCTGGCCTCTCCGAGCTGACAATGTGCGTCAACTCCGTGTTAGATTACAGTTGTTCCCATTCGATTACTCCTTTCCGGTAGCAACACCATACAAGTTGTTCTGAGGTACAGCAGCATGTGTTTAGGCATGGCGTACCATGTTTGTGTTATAATAATAATGGTGATGGTAATGGTAATTGTCATGTTAATAACAATTCTTGTGATAACAATGATGCATACTTCAAGTGTTATCAAAGGGACCTTTACCGTTATTATTTTTATTTATTTATTATATATAGTCTGATGTTCAAATATTCATCCTACCAAACTAATAATCTATTCTTTTTTACTCTTGATGATTCACCCCATTGATCTTCTTATAGACGAAAGAAATTTTTCCCCACCCTATTTTTGTTCCACCTTACTCGCACAACTGAAAAAACACTTGGTGGTGTTGTTTATTCACTCACCTGTATTACATCGATCTTTTATCCATATCGCGATGTAATTGGATGGCTGTAAAGGTCACCACCTTCTGTACCAAAACTTGAATATTAACTTGAAAGCTTAATGTCTGGTTGATACTCTTGAAAAAGGATCTTCCTAGCAAAATCGAAACGTTGAGGAATAATACAGAGTATTTGTTTATTTTGTTATTTGTTCTGACATACTCCGCTGGGATTACACAAGTAAAAATACATCTTATACGGTGAATAATATTAATAGTTAATTTTGCATCTTCCAACTTTCTTCTAAACTCGTAATCTAAGCACACTTGTCGATCTAAGTGGGGATATTTCGGAAATTGTGTGGTTGTTAATTCAAGGTAGTTTACATCTTGTTAGAAATAGTATGAAGAATTTACATTATCACCAGCTTAGTGTTAAACTTTTCATCAGAGCCGTTCAGAAGCTCCAAGTTAGGATGGAATGGTTGTCTGCTGTGCTTTAGTTTTGATTGTCTCTCTATATGATGTTAATTTTCTATGAAAGCATTTAAACAAATCATCTTCCTATGCATATTCACTAGTTAATATATCGAAAAATGTAGGCAAGTAATAGTCGTGTCTGCAGAATGATAGTAGCAAATAAACTAAAAAGATGTAACTTAAGGTTTTTTTACCTGGTAATTTACATAATCTAGACTATTTTCCTAACTTGGTGGCACTGTTTTTTTTATGGGGTTTATGCAGTGTGTTTAGAAATCATTGAAGTAGTCTGTTAAGCGTTTTACTGTCATGCAAGAGCATTCATCACCTTGTTTACCAGTCCCAGAAGAATAATAACTATCTATATCTCTGTGCAGTAACGAAAGCCTTGCTTGACATTAACCAACTAAAGTGTAGTTCACTATGTAGTGATGCATTCTTTACTATCATACATCTGTGTCACTGACGCTGCTACGGGAGGTATGTTTAGCTCATGGCCTCCATGTGATTAAACGTTGAAATTAGGTGTAGAGTAGAGGAGCTCATTCAATGGATAGTAGTGCATATGTGCATCAATGGCGTTCATTTGGTAATGAAATACATATGGTATACACGATGGCTACATCAAAGTTCCTAGACAAACTACTTTTGGAGTGGAGCAAAAAAAGTGATTTTGATTTGACCATATTACTTAGTAAACGTATCTTTCATTCTATTTACTGTTTTCGTATGTTTTTCTGTTATAGATACTGTACGCATATCCCCTTTCAAAGAAGTGGATTTATCCGATATTGTTATCTTCCCAACTTGCGTTCTTCGAATCTGCCTTTCTAGTCTCAAGAGTAATACTTGTAAGTTCGAAATGATTGAAGGTATTTCTTAGCTATTTTCTTCACAAATCATTTGGGAAGAATAGCTTCTATCTTTAGAGTGTGAATAGGCTTGTCCATTATGATGACCTAATAAATTTACTGTCTGAAACGATTGTTGTGTGAGTTACGAAACTTTGCACTCTCCTAATTGTTAATATTTTGTTTTTTGTCATTCACATTCACAATCGAAGCTTAGTTTCTAACATGACTTGCAATGATTTCATGGAGTTCACTCAACTTATACCAAGACATGGTAGCAGTCCATTAAGTGTTCATTTGTTCACCTGTACCATATAGGGAAATGTAAACAACTTGATACCTCACGAAATGATGATAGTTTTAAATAGATCACACTGATAGTTATATATTCCAGTATTTTACATTTTCAGATAGTATAAATTTGATTTACTTCCAGTTATTTATTTATCTACTCTCTGATATTTTAAAAAGTAACGTTGGATGTAATTTAAAAAAACATTCTTCTTTTCGAACGCAAGTATTCTGATTTTTCGCATGATTATTTAACATTGCATGCATAAAATGTTCTTCATTTTTCCTGTCTTCACGCAGTTACTTTCATAATGTTTTGCTCCTCAGTGAGGTATGCATGGATGCCTCAAATATACTACACAAACGTATTATTTTGTCGTAGTTATGGTAGCTGTCTGTATTTTTCTCCACTATGAATTGATTTAGTAATTTTTGTAGATATTATTTCTTTAGCCTCAAATTTCACTATTGCTTGAAGTGAGTCTTTGTTTGAGTCATATCTAATAGGTGAGTGTCTTCGATATCTTACTTTGTAGTCTTTTTATTTAACCGTCCTCAACAGTGAAGCGTCACTTTTTGTACATAAATATGTATTTATTCAGTGATTAACAAACTCCTCTTTAGTATTCTTACAATGGAACATGATTGACTTGATCATTTTGAATATATAAACAGTGTAGAAAAACTTACCTTGCATGTGGCTTGCATCTATGACACCCTTGATAATCTGATACTGTGTTTCGTGAATGATTTCTAGGCTTACATATTTGAAGGACATTAGCATCAACGTTCTGAAATCCTGCATTTATTTATCACTATGCTTTTTTCCATAACAGTATGCAAGTATTGCTTTTGTATTTCATTTTCGAACCACACTACAGCTATTGCGGTCAATTATCAGTCAGATGCTGCTACTACAGATCCATTTTCTAATTCTGATCCCAATTATTGTACAGCTGAAAGTTTGCTGATAAACTATTCAGGTGACTTATTTCTGTTACAGAGATTATCTTCGAAGGTTACGCACCAGAACTATTCTAAAAAGTCAAGTGAATCCAACAAACAGGTAACAGAAAACTTTTGACTATGTTCCATACTTACAAATAACATTGTAGATTTACATTCTTCTCGTAAACGAATGTGAATAGTTTATTTTATGCAGAATTGTAACATACTACCTGTTAAATGGATGGAGGCAATCGGCAATAATCCCTGTAACTAGATTTCGTACCTCTTGGCAATCGTCTCCAAGGCAATATCTGCAACCTCTACGGAACTGATGTCCTCCCTGAGATTTGAACTTGCTTCACCCAGTGCTGCATTCAGCGACATTATCACTGATCTATGCGCGCCGCGATTGACCTTCTGTGTATTATTGGGCTAGGTAAATTGATTAGTTACTGGAGGGTAACCGAATTCATGTAATCAATTCCTTATGCTGATCGAATTCTATCGATCAATTTGCCATGCAGCCACCAGGCTAGGGGGCTCACTATTGCGATGTTGTCTTTGTTTAGAAATAAATCTTTTTGAATCGACTTTATGCGTTTAATCACCAACTTATCATACCTCTTTGCCTCTTACTAAAAATGATTGGTGCCATTCGGGTGCCAGTTCTGTTAATTCGATGTTACCTGAAACATAAATTCGAATAAATCATGAGCATTCTACAATTCATTTCATTTGAGTTGTGTGAAACATATCATCAAGTCATTACTTGAACGACTACAAACAATTCGTATGTTTTCAGCATCAGTTTGCCTTTTTAGAAGATTAATGCAGATAAAGACCTTCAGTGTGTACTCTTTGATGTTAGAGGCTTCCTATGCTCTCTCTATTTCCTTCATATAGATTCTGAATTGATTTTTTATGTCGTCTAACACTGCTATTGACTTACTTTCATGTTGATTGTAATTGCATCTAGTTTAATGAGTTAGTTATAAGTAACTAAACTAAAGGTGGAAAATAATAATTATTCAGTAATAACTCATGTTTCACATTATCTTGTTGTGTATATTGGTAGCAACAACCTATAACTTCGGGAAACATTATCCCGTGGTAATGTGGTTGCTGTAATCAGACAATTCTATTTTGTTATTCTAAAGATTATCACTCTTTTTTTTCTGTTAGCAACTTTTCTTCGATAAGCCTTTGTTGGTTGCTTCGAAGACTGAAATTGTGTGGTCTGCAAGCTGTTTACAACCTGCGCAATCCCCACAACTAGATGGTTTTTATTTAACATCGCCGGATGTACATCATATAAATTCATATACCAAAAATTCCTTATGGCTCTATTCAGGGGCATCTGGACTAAGTGTTTGGCTTTTACTACCGAGAATTACCTCTTCACCTTTTGACATTAACTGTGAATCTGTTGCACTGTATAGCAATAAGAGATTTTGGGTGGACCATGAAAGTTCATCGACAGTTAGCTGTCGTCGTATTATGCTGTCATTCGACTTGAGTGATAACTTTTATCCTCTTAGTAAGTTCTTTGAAAATATATCACTGTACTTTTTTTCTCACAAGTATTTGTGTTGTTTATTTTTCGTCGAGTCGAATTTGAACCTTGTCGTTTTCGGCTCAGTTCCCACTGCCTACTGTCTTTCTATTTGTGGGTCATTTAAACCTAAGGTAATGTCTGGATGTATAATCATTCGTAACAGTAGTACCATATCCGTGAAGTCAGCCACTAAGTCGAACCTAGCGTTAACAATTTTCTCTAATTTGCTATCTTTCCAGTCGTAAGAGCACTTATATATCTCTGTCTCCCCGTAGTCTATGTGAATATATTGTGTTGGTCAACGTTGTTCCCATTAAATGTCTTCGGGAAGCAGACCTATTACTATTTGTTTACTCTACCTAAATTTTTCTCATGAATCTCCGAACAAATGTATTATATTTCATTCTGCTTCAATAAGCTGCTGTTGTTTAATCTTAATATAGCGCTCAGTTGATGTGTAAGCAACACAAATTCATCCGCTTTGAAATTCCCGTATTGCAAATTAGCTTCTGTAAACCCTAAGTACACTTTCCAGTTCTCGCACTGCATTTTGGTCATGATAACCAACTTATCAATAAACGAGTTTGAGTGGAATGTACATCTATAATCATGAAATATCAAATATCATAAATTGTTATACTCTGTTTGTTGGCTAGCTGCGAAAGCCAGGTCGAACGTTCCGTCCCATTTGGTACTCATCAGCTGGATGTACCTGCACCTTAATGAGAGATATTTCTTCCACTAAGACTCGGACTCAGTACCCATCACTCCAAAATCCAAAGCGTTATCCAATAGGCCACTAGAGCACGGAGGACAAAACACACGTCCTGAATTTAAATTCTGGTCATCAAATAGACTACAAAACAATGATATCCAGGCAGTATTGAGGCAACCACAAAGGAGCCCATCTACCAACGGAGATCAAGAAGTTCGACCCGGTCGATATCTCTTATCTTGACGAGGTGGTCGGGCTTGTATATCACAATGACCCAACGAGCTATGCTGGTGGAACACTTGTTCCCTCGAGGTCCTACCATACCAGAAAGGTTTGTTGGATAGTGGTTAGACGAAAAGCAGTTACTATTTTGGTGTAAATTACTACACTACTATGAGGGTCTGAGGGCGAAGTCGTACTACTGCTAGCTGGATGGGGTCTGACAGCAGTAGGGTGTTTCCCTTTTATGACTACCAGTGACATGCTGATGCTGCCTTCTCAGTGGAAGGGGGGTTTAGAAAAAGTCGTCCTCCAAAATAACACACTCCACTATAACCCATGGTCTACCGGGCTGGAGGTGTTGCTTCATTTGTCGTTTCTTTTTGACCATCCGGTCTCAAAACAACCATACACAAAACGGTGTGTGACAGGACTAAAGCAGATGTCCGATAGACACTGCGGTCACATAAATCTCGTTCAGGTGCCTTAAGAAGAAATAGCATTCCACGGCATGGGCAGCCGGAAAGTGTCAACCACCCTCACAACTCTGTCAGCACTCAAGTTTCTTCAGGCTGCTATCCACCTCCCTCATCATTACCTTCCGATCTTCCTTCATGTCTCTCAATTAACAATACTACATCATCTTCAATTTCTCCTAGCTCTCCAGCCTTCGACAACGATCTGAATCTAGAGAACAGCATCCCTGGTCTCCTTAAACTACTCTCCAAATTACACATAGGGGTCTTCGATGTCTGCACCCTCCGTCCGATTGGTCAACAGGCTTCATCGATCAAGACTCTAACAACTCGGGCCATGGATGTGTACTATGTTTGTGAGACTCGCATACAGGACCCAAGTGCGTTTTATTCACCTCACCTCACCTCACCACTCGCAACCAATCTAGTGTGTCCGCGAAATTCACCCTTCGAGTTTCTGGAGATTCGATATCTAGCTCTTGCGGTCTTGTGAGTGTAGTCATAGCATTAAGCACAAGAGCAGAAAGCTCACAACTGGACTGGACCCCAGTTGATAGTTGCCTCTGCGCTGTCCAGCTAAACGGTACAGTGAGAACTAAAAAGAATTGTGAAACTCACTGTTGTCTCTTTGTAATCTGTGCTTGTGCACCCACTGACTGCAGTTCAGATGAAGTGAAGGACGAGTTCTACCGAAAACTTTCTAGCCTCCTTTCGAAAGCCAAACGTTCAGACGTAGTGTTGTTGGTTGTTGCAGGTGATTCTAATACACAGGTGTGGGTAGACTGAGTGAGGCAGAAAGGCATTTAGGTGGCACTTTCGGAGTCCCTGCTGAACGTACAGATAACGGTGATCGCCTACTACAACTATGCTCAGATAACCACCTATTTTCAGCTGGCACTAATTTCAGACACTGTCTGATGTGGCATCCACCCACCTCAACTCAGTGATGGACATAGATAGACCACATTGCTATCAGTCATCACTGAAGAGGATCGGTGGGAGACTGCTGCTCCTTCTGGAGTACGTGTTTGGACAGCAACCATGCGTTGGTCCGAGCGTGTATATGCCTGTCTCAATGGACGTAGGGAAATTTTGGCAACAAAACCACTACGAGTGCTGCTGGACAACGAAAACACCAAAGCCATGTCAATTGAAAAGTTGTCAAGGCAGTCATTGGAACAGAAGACTATCACTCATCCAGAAGAAGCTTGGTGCCATCTCCAGTCTGCTGTAAAAGCAGCACTCAAGACCATGAACGACGCCAAAAGAGCGGCTAAAAAGAGCCACTGTATATCAGCATCTTCTTCCGAACTAACGGATGCAGGTGAACACATCCTTGCAGGCTCTGAGTATAATGAAGAGTGAGCACAACTTAAAAGTAGGTTGAGAAAAGGTCTGCGCAACGACCGCGAACAGTGGTGGGTAGCGAAGGCTAAAGAGGTGGAAAAGGCAGCGGTGATTGGTAACAGTAGACAGTTATTTAGACTTATTAGGCAAACTGGAGGGAAAAGGTCAACAATGGTTAATGAGACCATAGTGGAGAAGGATGGGTCTGCGACTCACTCGCAGGGGAGACGACTGGAACGATGGGCAGAACACCTCTAGGAACAGTTTAAATGGCCTCTAGCCACCATTGCATCTCTCACTATCCAGTCGGATCCTGGATAAAAACATCGAGATAAGCCCCCCAACATTAGGGAAAGTCGAGAAAGCTGTAGGTAACTGGAAGCGAGGAAAGGCAGCAGGACCAGACGGACTAACTCCTGAGGTATACAAGTATGGTGGTAGTGCTCTTAGTCAGGTTAACGGAAGTGTTAACTAGTATATAGGGATCAAATACGATCCCCTCTGACTGGTCTAAATCACTGATTATTCCAGTCTTCAAGAAAGGCGAGAAGTCCTCTTGTGATAACCACAGGGGAATCAGCCTGACGAACATAGTGTCTAAGAATCTGGGTTTTATAATCATTAGACGCCTGAGTGGAGCTCGGGAACAGCAAACCTTGAGTGGCAATTTGAGAATGTTTGAGATGCGTTTCTCACCACCCAAATACAAATTGTTGCTCCAGGATTGGTCTTCAACGGTGCCACGGCTAACAATAAGAGCGTAGTGGTTGAGTGTGTCAACCACTTTACTAACCTGGGAAAGAGGATCAGCCCTGGTGGATCAGTGGTCGATGAAATCTCTGCACGAATACAAAAGGCTCGGCTAGCTTTTGCCAACTTACGCTACCTGCGGCGCCGTCATGATATCCGATTGTCTACTAAGGGTTGCGTGCACTGCACAGGAGTCTGCTCTGTTCTACTGTATGGCTGTGGAACGTGGCCATTGAAGGTGGAAGAGATGAGAAGGCTTCAGGTGTTTGACCACCGTTGTCTTAGTAGTATAGGCCGTATTCCGTGGTGACACCACGTGAGTAACGCAAAGTCAGATGTAGAGTTCTAGGGAAAAGAGGTAAGTCAGTTGACACAGTTGTGAACCTTCATCGACTGAGATGGTTGGGACACATATGTCTAGTCGCCGATTGCCTCGTTGCACAATGTTGGCTGAAGTAGGTTCAGGCTGGAAAAAGGCTCGAGGCGGTCAGACTAAAACATGATATCAATGTATGAAGTCTTTGACTGTTAGTTTGAGACATGTGGGGCGATGCAGACTAGCCGGTTCGGGTCCACGGGACAAGACAAACCAATGGTTGGAGACACTATATGATATGGCTCAGATGTATACACACATTATCCTCATCTTAACGCTTTACCGAATTTCACCATTTTCTCATTCTTCCTTTCTCTCACTTAGTACTTTATATTTCTGTTGACTGAATTTTCTTCTCTTCATCTCCCACTTCACTGCCTTTTTACTTGATGAATTGATATGAGCTGTGGCAACTCGGACCGTTATGCAGTAATGCCTGTTGATTTTGATGATGATGACCTAACCGACAACTGCTACTTTTATGTGGTGGGATTTACAAATAACTGTGACCTAAAGAGCTACACTGGTTGAAACGATTAAAAATCGTGCTGAAGACTTTAACCGACAGGAAGTAGTTAGAAAAGGTCAGTGGATTTCAACAGCTTCTTTATTTAATGGATACACATGAACTCATCTTTGCAGGCACCCACCACAATAAGGAGCAGAAGCAACTCGATTATGAACAGACAAAAAGTCTACGCAGTGATCATGAACAGCAACGGGCTGTGAATGCCAAATAGGTGGAAAAGGCAGTTGCGATAGGTAACACTAAAAAAAATATCTAGACCTAATATGGAAACTTGGGAGAAAATGTAAACGGTTAGTGACGCTATAGTGGAGAAGGATGGGTCTGTGATTCGAGTGCAGGGAAGACGACTGGAACGATGACAGAAACACTTCAGCTGGCTTCTAAATACTACTCCGTTGTCTGTTATCCAGTCAGAGTCTGAGTGGAACATCGAGATGAGACCTACAACACTTACAGAGATCAAGAACGCTGCAAGAAACCTGAAACGAGGAAGAGCAGCAGAGACAGAGAGACTAGTACCATAGGTATTTACGGACGGTGGTAGAAGATCACTGGTCAAGACTCAGTCTTTTGGACACTTTGGGTGGCAATCTGCAAATGTTTGTTATGCGTTTCTTGCCAATAGGACTGGTTTTTGCCAGTTTTAAGTCTTATAGCAATGTCTCTCACTGAAGGGCGTGCCGAGTAAGTACGTCACCTTGTTGAAGGCTCTCTACTCATACACTTGTGGGCGTGTTAGAGCCTATGGTGAGATGTCAGGTGAGCTGTACTCATCGAGTGATGTTCGTCAAGGATGCCCACTCTCTCCATTCTTATTCAATTTTATCATAGATATTCTTATGCAGGTCTCCTTTGAGTCACCTGATTACACAGACGACCTAATTGCGGGAGAATTTTCGATAGACGTAGATTACACATATGATATGGTCCTGTTAGAGGAAGATACAGAATATTCTGGACACCTTGAGTGGCAATTTGTGAATGTTTGGGATGCGTTTCTCATCACCCAAATGCAAATTGTTGCTCCAGGATTGGTCTTCAAGAGGTAAGTCGGTTGACGAGGTTATGAACCTTCATCGACTGGGATGGTTGGGTTTGTGTTACGTATGCCTAGTCACCGTCTGTCTCGTAGCACAATGGTGGGTGAAGTAGGTTCAGGGTCGATAAAGATTCGAGGTGGCCAGAGTAAAAGATGGCACTAATGTATGTAGTCAGAACCGATGTCAGTGACTCAGATGTATACACACATTATCCTCATCTTAACGACGCTATACCGAATCTCACCATTTTCTCACTTTTCCTTTCTCTCTTTTCGTACTTTATATTTTCCTCGATTGGATTTTATTTTCTTCATCTCCCACTTCACTGTCTTTCTACTTGTAGAATTGATATGAGCTGTGGCAACTCGAACCTTTACGCAGCAATGCATGGTCCTGTGTTGATGGATGATGATGAATTAGAGCCAGTTCCAGTGATACTTATTATTATTATCATTACCATTATTACAGTAACACAAACATGGACCACCAAGATAGTTAAGAAATGCGCCACACAAAATGATATAACAGCATTATGCAGGCATAAAGTCATGTGAAGTGAACAAGTGAGAAAGAGAAACAATACAGATAGCACGATTAGAAGGGCAGTTTAGTGAGATACATTCAAAACCATACATTCATTACTTTTCAGCAGCAAAAGGTGGAAGGAAGCTAGAGCATCACCACCACCACCACTAGTGTCCATTCTCAGCCATATCTGATAACGTCTGAAGTCACTGAGTTACGTGGTCTGTCGAACCTCACCCAGGGAGTTGTAATGCACCAACAGATGCCAACCCAACACAACTACCCTTCATCCCACAGTACCACGTCATACACTGACCAATCCTCCACTTCTTTCATCTAGTCCCAGGCCCAGGGGCAACGACTAATGAATGATAAGGAAGCAGTTGGAACCACATGCGTAACACATATCCCAGCCACCGAGACTGGTGTTTCCAGATAACTCCACTTATTGAATGACGATCTCAATCATGCCTAAACACATGCTGCTGTACCTCAGAACAACTTGTATGGTGTTGCTACCGGAAGGGAGTAATCGAATGGGGACAACTATAATCGAACACAGAGTTGTCGCACATTGTCAGCTCGGAGAGGCCAGGTTTCACAGGCGTAGAGCAGAACCGGAATGGTCCGACGGGCGTCAAGAAGTTGCAGGGAGCTTGCAGAGACCAAGTGTTTATTAGCGGGACGTTATTCCAAGATGTTATTGGCTTTACTCACCATTTTCCATGGTGTCTTGCAAGTGCAGCCAATGCTCGTTCACACTTTCTGGAGGATAGATAGCCAGCCCCAATTCTAGATGGGATTGGTATTTCGCTGCAATGTTGTTAGGTGCAACCAATTTGCTTGCATCGACCTGTTCAGGAGGACGATTTTGATGAACATCAGAACGCAAGACGAGCTTAGTATACACCGTAGTATGATCAGAGTCCAGACATGTACTGGATAAAAATGTACAATTCATATGTAAAACCAACGAAAACGAAAAATACTAGGAGTAAATTAAACAACTAGTTTAGGTGTTCGTGGTGTAGAAGGCTTGAATATTTCCCGAAAAGTTGGGTGAGCGGCTCCAAAATCTTCATCGTATATCGTGACTTCATATTTTATGTGAGGGTTGAGATAGTCCCCGGGTGCCGAGACCGAAGTAGGTGGTTGTGTTAGGGTACCACTCACTCTCTGAGTGTTTGACTTAAAGTCTAATCTACAAGGCGATGGAGTAACATGAGGAGGTGTATTTCTATGGTCGCCGGTGACCAAAATAGGTTCACGCACCATTCGTTCTGTCTGGAACCTGGAGTCCATGAGCACCACTGGTTTGGAATCAGGGTTTTCGAACTCCCTTAGGTGGATCCTCAGTATCCACCAGCTTCTCGATACGCACTGGATATTGGTTTTCGCCTTTGAACTTTTGTGGACACAATGCATTCATTTTAAAATAAGAGATTATCCAGGAAATCCAGATGTCTACAATAGGTCTGAAAGTGAATTTATTTTTATCAGGGATACGCTGTACTTAGAAAATGTAAACACTATGCAACAGTGATATCGATTTAGGTTAATTCATTCAGCACGAAAGTTATCTTACCTATCGTGGAAAGAAGAAGCTCGACTAAGATGAATTTGTATCTCTCCACTGAAAGGCAGCATCAGCGTGACATTTCTGGTCATTCAAGAGATACACCTTACTGCTGTCGCACCCCGTCCAGCTAGCAACAGTACGACTTCACCCTCGGACCCCCACCATTGTGCAGCATTTTTACTTTCTTCACAATCTACACAGCTTTTTATCTTACCTGTGTGGCATGATAGAACCTCGAGGGAACGTGGGTTCCAACGAGTGTGGCTCCTTGGGCCATTGTGATATACGAGCTGGACTGTCACGTCAAGGTAACAGCTACCGGTCAGAAAACAGCTACTGTAAAGTTTCGCTTCATTTTGTGTTGGCTTTGCAATAGCTACGATGTTTTTGTCCTGTTTCATCAATGTAATAAAATGTTTTGGAAAAACTAATTTTTCACTCAGTTGAACAACTTTAAGTGTTTAGAGTGCCAATCATCTGACTTTGTTTCCTTACTGAGCCACCCTTCCGCCTGCTTCCTTCACATTTCAAGGAGTACTATTACTTTTCATTATAATCCTGGCATCTTCTATTGAATCAAATCTAGGTATACTGAGTTGGTTTAAAATAAAGCTGTTCAGGACTGTCGATTCCTTTTTACATAATATTGATCGCAAAGCTACTTTTTATCAATTGTTTTACTCTTTCACATTTACATTACGTTGTAACTGTTTTTTAATCAGGTATATTCTTCCAAGAAGAGCTGTTGGTGGGTATTCATAACGACTTCCACTTTTGCTGGAATAAGTCGACACGTGGTGCAGGGAAAAGCTCGTTTGCTGATATATTTACTTTATTCCAATACGCAACATTGACAGTCAAGGTAGAGTGGTAAAATTACTCAGTTTGTATTTAACTAATGTTAAAATGTCTTTGCATGCGCTCAATGACTGAAGAGAATGATGAAAATCCTTGTGGTTTAAATATGACCTTAGTTCTTCAGCTGTGGCGATTGTTTTCTGAAAGTGATGCTCACCTCTGTAAATAACGTTACATATTATGGCCACTTTACCTGATCCTAACGTGATTCAGAATCTTATTATTCATTGTTTCCGTTTTTGTCCTTGTTTTTAATTTTTTCGAGATTTTTAGAATAAATGGATGAAACCTTCAGGACTTTGTCGGCTTATCTCATTTTATTGGTTGAGTACTTGTTATCACATAGTCGTCGTAGTATCTGCTGTAAGATTCGTTATTGGAGTTAGCCTATTTAAAATTTCCCAGAAATCATTGAATTTCAGCTATCATTTGTAGATTCGTGTACTCAGGCATGAGCTAATCTTATTGTGATGTCTGGGCTTACTACTCGACTGCCTAAACCTTTAACCATCTGGTTGAAAGTCAAAAACCTAGCCCAATTATCCATAGCTCTAGCTATCCCCAGCATCATTGAATACTGATGAAAACATTTATGGTTTCCATTGTAAAAGGATATTTCGCGTTTTATGTAGGATAGAATATCTTTGTATAATACATATTTCAGGTTACTTTCTAAGGTTTTAAGTTTTCCAAAGTTTCACATTCCAAGTTGTGTTGTTAAATATTTTCGACATATGCTCCTTTTTAATCGTTTTCAGGTTCAAATAGCACACCATCAAATCATTCGACAACTGTTAAAAAGAAAGTAAGACTCTTTGTGGTTTTTGTATTGCCTTTTGTCAGATTTCTTTTGTAAACATTTTGAAACTTTCGATTACTCCATCTTAAATTTACCCACAGCTACCTCCATACAAATTCCGAAGTTGTATTGTTGTAAGATTAAGAGATACATAACACACTTCAGAGGCATCTTATCCTAATGACTTCAGACACACTGAACTCTGTTGTTTGTAAACATACTGATTATCTTCAGTTTAGTTCATGGAAACTAGCATGAACATTCATAAAACTGGTTCATACTGGTTGCTGATTATGTAGTGGCCATACATCATTTCATTCCGGTTCATTTCTTATTTCCTTTATTTCCGTTGTTGATACCCGCTAATAAACCCGAAGAAATGTAAGGCTAAATTTGTATCTTTAACATTTCTAGTAATTACGATGCAGCGCGAAATGCTTGTTTTGATGTCGCAACCGTGCTAATGGAATATTAAACGTACTAATCTATGAGGTCATATTAAATTTTTGTGGAGATTTCAAATTCCATTGGTACCATAACTAAGAATAATGGAACCTTAGGTTTTTTCAGGTACAAATTTTAAAAATTGATAAGCATGAATAGAATGGCTTTTGAGAAATCCTAATACCTTTTCATGCTGGTAATAGTAATCATGTCTAAAAATTTTAATAGCTATTTCACGATGTGTTATCTCAGAGATGTAGTTTTTTTCCAGTCAATATATAGAATTACCCGTCAGTAGGTTATTGCAAGTTAGATAATGTTAGTGTTTTTACTAACAGTTTTTTTCTGAAAAAAAATTTCGTTTGGACAGCTTAGGAAATCATGCATCTCAAATGAGTTTGGCTTATCAAAACCTAACCTACTTTCCCATATTTTGGAATTATTATTGTATGAAGTGTTGGAGGCTGAAGCTGCATCCAAAGTTCTAACTCCCGGTAAGATTCTTAAAGAGAACCATTAAAGCTTTCCTTCTTTAAAAACAATGTAAACAATGAACATAATTTTTGATAATTTGTCCACAGGTTTTACAGCTTTAAGAAGAAACTGTTTATTATGACACTTTGTCAAGTCTGCTGAAAATGTATTTTCTAAAATGGGATGTAGATCAGAGACTGTAAGCAGATTGAATTTTTCACTTTCAAAATTCTTCCGCGTTAAGATGACGTTTACACGTATAAAGAATGTTATGGTGAAAGGAAAAAAGGGGCAATAACCGAGGACGAGGCAAATAGCCTTCAGTTTATGGAAGTTGAAGTGAGGAATAACGCGTGAACACATTCCTCTTGAATGTATAGTTCAGATTCTAGTGATCTCATTACTACAACTTCAGCTATGCAGAGAAGGCTTTGACAAGTAGAGGTTCGTAGAACCTGATGTGAATTTATTCAGGCAATTATTCTTCATTATTAATGTTGTTTGACTGACGAAATGGGATTCTCAAAATGTTTAGTTTTTTTACTTTTACTTGACCCAAGTTCAGCGTAAATAAGAATTTACAGACGTATCGACCAGACTGGCATTCATTTAATACCAGTTTCTTTTTGAAGAAAATTGTTTTCCATGGTTCGTCATTTGTCTCTTATCACAACTCTCAATCCGAAAAGTAGCACCGTATAGCTTGACAGTGACTTACTCCAAATCAATTATCAAGATAGATAAACAATATTTCTATGAACCTTCGTTGGATGTAATCAGCTTAAGATTGTCTTTTTTCTGAAAGTTGCTGTTCATATTTCGACTACACCTTCATCGTTGATTAACCTAGAGCCTTAGTTAAGGTAGTAGAGATGAATATAAGGAACATCATAAGGTGGTTGTTGGTAATCATTTAGTTTCAATAAAATAGTCGACCCCTCTGTGGTGATAATCATTCCCAGGCCTTAAATGTGGTGAAACAACATGAAGAAATGGTTCCTCTCCAGAAGCTATTAATGATGATGTGCAAATCACCATTTAAGGCAAATGATGTGTTCACTGAGGTTTAGAAAATATCTATAGTCTTCTGACTAATCTGTTTTTTTATTCGCTATAATTTATGAAGTCGGAGAGAATCTGCTTTATGAAAGCCGCACAAAAATAACTTCCATGAGCATAGTGTCTTTCAAATCTACCGGTGGTTGCTATGATTAGACTTTATCTTTGAGTAGATTCTGTGCTGCAAACTAAATCGTGCCCCCACACCTATCCTTTTCTTGACTTTGTGTAGGCATTTTTTTCCCATTGCTAAGGTGGTAAGGATTTACTAGCTACTGAAATTTAGTAGTAGTTTAAAATATCATTTATTGGTTAACATGTATTAGCTCTTAATTACTTATAAAACCCTAAGAACCTTGATGATTTTCACTTTAAAAAAAAATCTTACTACCTCTGACTTTGTTGTCGTTTATTTTTTTTTAATCATCCTGCCCTTTGTTTTTGCGAATAAAGTGCATGCATTTTGTGATAATCAATACTTGTCTGCCAGACAGGCGTACATCGCATTGTGATGGTGTTTATTATGACACTTTGTCAAGTCTGCTGAAAATGTATTTTCTAAAACGGGATGTTGATCAGAGACTGTAAGTAGATTGAATTGAAGGCGTACATCGCATTGTGATGATGCTTGCAGTGAGACAGGATCCAAACATTAACCGCTTCAAACATGAAAGCTTTATCCCTGCTTCTTAGATTCTATCAATACATTTCTTTTGTTAAATTTTTGGTTATTTCGACCTATACTACTGTTGATTGACAGGCTTGAATAGATCAGTCTGTAATGTCTCAGATAAAATGAAATGGGCGTTCCAGATTTCTCTCCTAGGATATCTCTTGTAGACCTAGTTACAGACATTATTGAGATATTGGTATGTAAGGGCCATATGCCAAGAAAGATAGGTTGGTTCATCCTGTAAATCATATTTAATTCTAAGTTTCGACATAAACAAACATGTTGTGTTTGTCTTACGCTTTCATATCACTGTAGACCCTTTACTCCCTCAAGTTGTGGCATTTATTCAACAGTTTTCCAATTTCTTCGAGATACTGGCTCATTGCTCACGTAAGATAGATGCCACATGGTGGCCCCACTTATACGCGGTTATTGGACGGAGACCAAGAGACCTTTTTGAACTGTGTTTGGAAAACAATCAACTAGAAACTGCCGCTTCGTACTTAATTATTCTCCAGACATCAGAAGCACTTTCTACTAGTTGGGAGGTGAGCTTGTATGAATTCTCCCTATATCTTTCTTCGTTTTTATTCCATCTATATGAGATATCTAGATTTGAAAGTCTTGTTAGTTATCCTAAGTCTATATTCTTATTCTATAATTTA